TTTGTATCTTATCCCAGAGTCAAGAGGGAACTCCTGGAGCTTCCTGAATAGGGAAAGGACATTGTCAGAACTGTGTTGCATGGGAGAGACTGGAGGCAAAGAGACCAATAAGGAGGCTACTGCAATAGTTCAGGTGTGAGATGAACAAGTCCTCACCAAGGGTGCAAGACGTGAGGAGAGAGAAGAGGAGTGAATGTGAGAGACATTGTGGAAGTAGAATTGACAGGACTTGGAAAACGATTGGCTATGAGGCTGCGGGTGGAGGGAGATGGGGAAATAGAGGATGATTCTGAGGGTGTGGGTGACCCAGGTGACAAGAATGCCCTCAACAATAACATGGCAGTTAGGAAGAAGGGAAGGTTTGGGGAAAGGAATGTGATGACTTCTTCTACCATTATTTTGAATAACTCATTTGTTATTTTTGCATTGTACAACAAAATATTTGCAATAACATAGTGAATAGCTCCCCCACTACTATGTAAGATAAAAAATTGCCATGTTCCCTACAAAATATGGTGATCACCCCCACCACCACTTTCGTTTCCAAATGCTGGCCCAAGCAGCCTACATATACACATGTATTTATGTGTTTACACACACACACACACACACACACACACACACACACACACACATATATATATATATATATATACATATATACACACACACACACACACATACATACATACATTCCTTATCGGTGACATGACAAATTTGAAAGAGTTAGTTACGAGGGTATAGTTCCAAGTTACTTAGAAATGACATTATTTCTCAAAATTGTTCAAGAACACTCAAAGTTGATACACCTTTTTTTATTATATTTTTATATTTGCTAATGAAAATCTCACGGTGGTTATATATGCAAATGAACAATATATGACTTCCATTATGAAAGTTTGACCTCACTTCATTCATTCATTAAATCACTCAATCGACAAGTGTTTATTAAGTTTCTACTCTGTTTCAGGTGAAAGGCAATGTGGGTTAGTGGATAAAGAGCCGGCATCCTTGCCAAGAGGAGCTGAGTTCAAATTCTGCCTCAGATACGTTCCAGCTATGTAACCTTGGGCAAGTCATTTAAACCCTCTGTTCCCCCAAGCAATTCATAATACTATAAGTTGTGGCAAAGGTGCTGATCTGTATTGGCAGGAATTCTCTATACCACTGAAAGTACCCATCTAATCTGTATCAGGCACTGTCCTAGACTTTGGGAATATAAAAACAAAAGAGTCCCTCATCTTAAGGGGCTTAATTCTATTTGCGGCAACAGTATATGTGTGCATATGCATATATTTATACACACGTATACATATGTGTATATGTATGTGTATATGTGTGTGTGCATATGTGTGTGCATGTCTGTGTGTATTTAATGGTGGAATAGTAGCTGAAGAGAATTAAGAAAGTCCTCATATAGGAAGTAGTACTTGAGCTGAGCTTAAAAAGAGCTACGGATTCTAAGAATCAGTGGTAAGGAGGGAGGGCATTCCAGGCAACAAGGAGAGCCTATACAGAGACACAGAGATAGAAGATAGAATGTTGGTATGTTTCATAGGTGGTGAACCAATTAGGTCACTTCTATAGTAAAGCCTTCTAATTTAGCCCTGTTTAGATCATGCTATTACTGATTCCAGTTTTCTAGAGGCCTTGTTTCCAATTGTGTACAGGGCACCCATCATTATCATTTACCCTGAAGTCTTAAAACTATAATTGTATCTTGTTTTCCTGTCCTTCATCTCCACCATGAAGGAGAATTCCAGAATCTCACATTTTGAAAGCTTCATGGGACTTCACTGGGCATCTTATCCAATGAATACATGAAAGGAATCCCTGCTATAGTATACCAGAGAAGTAGTCATCTGGCCTCTGAAGATTTCCAAGTGGAGGAGGATGTGTGTGAGATGGGGAAATCTATCATCTTTCCAGCTCCTTCTGGTAGTAATGGTTTTCTCCCTCAAATGAAGGCAGCATGATTTTATGGAAAGAACACTGGATTTGGAGCTAGGAGGAACTGGGTTGGAATCAGAGATCCATTATTGCACAAGTCCCTTAACACCTTTGTAATTAGTAGCCTTATCTGTAGTATGAGAGGGTTGGAATGGGCGATCCCTAATGAATCCCTAAGTTGCCTTTCCAATCTATGTCTGAAACCTCACATAGCCCTTTGCTTGGAGTTCTCTAACGCACTTTGTGTATATTACAGTTCTATGTACATGTCAGAAAGGAAGCTCTGAAGGCAGGCATCAAGTCTTAGTTCACTTTTCATTACCATTGTCCTCTCAGATAACTGTAATCACCTTTTCCCATATTGAACCAGATTCTGCCAGTTCTCCTTTGGGGTGACCCCTGGTAAATTATTACTTCAGTGTACCTGGTTATACTTTCTTGGACTGTCAGTCTGAGACATGCATATGATTTGCAAAAGTACCCGATATGCCCAGTGAGAAACTGATGAAGAGTGAGGAGGTTGATGCTAACTCATCTCTTTCTAAAATAGCTTATGGCAGATGTCTGTTTCTGTGGCCATGCTATTGCTAACCAGTCACATGCCCCCTTTTCTTATTAAAAAAAAGTCTCATCCAAAACTCTTCTTGAATTTATAAAGTAATAATAAGACCTTACATTCATGTAGTGCTTTAAGGTTTGCAAAGTGCTTTACACACATAATCTCAGTTGATCCTGACCACAATCCTGTGAGGTATATGCTGTTATTATCACTATGTTAGAGCTGTAGAAACTGAGACTGAGAGAGGTCAAAAGACTCACCCAAGATCACACAGACAGAAAATAGTAGAGATGGGATTTGAACATTTGAACTCAGGTCTTTCTTAATTGGAGTCAAAACTCTAACCATTACATCAGAGGTGTCAAATTAAAATAGAAAGTGGGGGGACACTAAACCATATATAAGGATCCCTGTAGGTCACACATTGACTTAATTTTAAAATGTAGTATTAACTATGTCTTATTGAATTTTTATTTATTTTGTTAAATATTTCCTAATTCCATTTTAATATGGTTAAGGCCACACTCAGAAGTGTTGTGACCCCCACGAATTCTGTGTTTCACACCTTTACATTACACCACGCTGTTTCTCAATGTGCTCTCAGACTATTTTTAGTTTTTAAAGACGTCGTCTTTCCCAAAAATCATTCATGTAATCTGTTCCCAAAGAGAGCAACAACAGATAAGAACTTTGTATATTTTACTGTGCAATGGAAATGACACAGTAAAGGACCCTTTCTAAAGGATCTCAGTGGTTTGCTGTGGCTGATATCATGTTTGAGGTTTCCAGAAAATCTTTGTTGCTTGACGTTTACTTGGTCTTTATAATGTATGTTTAGTTAATTCATCCTCTTTGCTTTTTATTTTCAGAAAGTTTAAATTTTTTTAAGGACTCAGTTTTGCATGTTGCATATTCATATCAAGTAATAGTGTATGTAATGAAGCAGCAGGTGATTGCTATTGCTTTCCTGGCATAAATGGCTTTTTCTGAAAATTGGATGAAGTCCAATAAGATATATAGAGAATGTTCAGAGCATACTTCACTTACAGGCCAGACCAGTCACCTCTCAGTCCTCTTTTAACAGAGAGCTTTATGAAAGAATCACTAACAGTAGAAGAGCAAACAAATAGCTTCAAACTGCTTTTGAATGTTCAATTCCTGCTCCTTTTCCCAGGTCTGCGTGATTGCAACGTTTGGGGATTTGAGTATCTTATATTATCTAAAGATAATTCCTCCCTACTAATAAAGGGACAATGGTGTCAATTTGAACATCACTAATTTTCTCAGAAGCAAGTTGAAGGTAGTTAGAGTAGGTACCTTCAGACTCCTTAGGCCTCAAAGACAAAACTAGAAAAGTTATATAACTTTGACCTTGTTTCCTAAATGAGAAAAGGGGGTAAAGATGTATATTAAATTTGATTTAGAGTTTCAGAATTGAAGTCAAAGGCTCATTGATATGCATAGTAAAATCCAAATCATTAAAGAAAATCAAAGAAAATTTAAGTCCCACTAAAATCCTCCCAACATACTCTCAAAATACTTTCAATGTAAAATATTCTCTGAATATTTGGGTGAAAATGTTTCTGGTTAAGTCAAACTCTTCAATTCACTTTACATATGTAGTTAGAATCTAGTTTTGTATGTTTTATTTCCACCATTTCCAACTTCAAATTTGATTCTCTAATGCAATAGTTTGTAGAAATTATTTCGCCAGCAGTAAAATCTGCAAACTTTTAATCATTCCTGATAGGATCACACTCAAGACTATGAATTCCGTTAAAATAAAGTTGGCTTCACTTTGAGGTACGGGGATTTTCAGGCATTTGTGGGGATTCCTGTGACCCTAGAAGAACTGGCATGCCCAGTTCTGCATACTCAGAAAATATTCTTCCATGTGGAAATGAAAGGAATTTTAAAGTTTTTTTTTTCACCCGTATGTAAACAGGACTGTAGCTACTATGTTTGTCCACAGCTCGAGCTACAGATGAACACAGGGTAGCTGTGTGATGACAGGAACAGCTGACTCATTAGTAGAGAGCAGTGAAAGGTAATTAACCCTGGGAAAAGTACAGCTGCCATGCGAGCTGTTCCTTTCTGTAGGATCTGATTAGAAATTAGTGTTAAACCACTGATTCTTCAAAAAAAAAAGTCATAGATAATTCACTTTCACTCTCAGGTGTGTTCACAAAAAAAGGTTCTCAAATATACTTGCAGTACAAAGAAACTGCAATCTAAAAGACATATTTGAATAACAGTACACACCTGTTTTCCTTGCTATGGGAGGGCTTTTTATTACGAATATATTAGACCTGATTATATGACCTTCCCCAAACTCAATGCTACTCTCCATTGTGTAAATTCCTTGAAAGAATTGTGTACTAATCATGTGTTTTTCATGAACAGAAAATAAGTTGTGGATCATCAATATTTGATTAACTTTTTTTCTTTTCTTTTCTTTCCCTTTTTGCTTGGCGATGTTTCTCATCCACAGCAATGCAGACTTAAAAGTTCAAATCTCCTATATTTTAGGAAAGGTAAGTAAAGGTTGTTTAAAAGGAAAAAATGTCCTAACCCTGGGTATAATCCCCAGCCACCCTCCTTTCTTAGAAATGTGAAGGTTTTATGATTAATATTAGTGTTATCTGACCACAGCCTTATTGGTACTGTGGCATCATTAAAATACTGTTCATAACAATGCATTTGAACCCAATATCTTTGACCTGTTAAATAGAGGTATCTTGCCTAAACAACATCAATGACTGAAAAAAAGAAAACTTGCCACAATTGGATGAGAATAGGAGAGAGGAGAAAGGAGAGAGAGGAGTGGGTAAGGAGGGAGATGAAGAACTGGAGATACACTTTTACACCCAACAAAATTGATTCCGGTAGCAAAGTCAACTGTCTATCTTATGGAATGGAAATAAAAATGTCTTTTGATGGAGTGCTAAGATAGCCTATGATTAGTTCAAAGATATTTCACTTCTTTTGGTCTCCTTCACACACAAAGTTGAAACATAGTTTTTCCACATTAAAAACTTTGAAAAGCAATGTCTTTTATACTTGAACTATTATTGATCTGTATTTAAACTGACCAAGTGAATGGGGGAAACACAGGGAAGTGACAGAAAATATTCTTCTTGCTGAGGGAAAATCATCCAGTCTAAATCCAGTATCTTAGATAATGCTACACCATTTTACCAATTGTACCAGCAAATGCACTTCTTGTCCTTTACTGATAATATATGCTATTCTATGTTCCAGAGAATGGCCATTGGAGAAGTGATCATTTGGGGAAACAGTCATGTTACTTTCTTTAATATTAAAAGGAAGGTGCAAAGTATCTAGGAAATCCATCTTAACAAGTTATAAATATTTAAAATGAGTCTCAAATTACTAAAAAAATTACTCACAATTAAATTGCATATATAGAGACATGCATATATTCTTTTCTGTAATAAGTTGAAAAAATTAGATGTTACATTTTCATAGAGAGACAGCATGGCAGAGTGAATAAAGAGCTAGCTATGGAGTTAGGAATATTCAGGTTCAAATCTGTCTCGGACATGCAGTAGTTGACTGACTCTGGACAAGTCAGTCAGCTCTTTGTGCCCCCAAGCTAATCTTGAAAACTACAAAGAAGATGTGCAATCTGTATTGGTAAATGGAAGTTCCTTACCAGTGATTCCTGTTAGTGATGAAATCAGAGCTCGAGATGGATGGGGGGAGATACTTATTACTTTTGGCTTTAACTCTTTCAGATACTAAAACTTTATAAACTTTGACCTTTTTCATATTTAAGAAGGAAATTATGGGGTGGGGGGGCAAGGAGTGAATATGTTAGAACCTGAACAAAACCTACGTCTCTGATTTTTGAGTTAACGTAGGTCTAAGTCTTAGTCAAACATCACATCAAAGATATTAATATCAAAGATAAATTTTTAGGAGTTGAAGGATCAGATGAAAGAGAAAAATATCTAACCCTGCCCCCTTCCCCATAATTATTCTTTTTTCCCTAAAGGCATGTAATTTTCTACTAGCACTTACTGATTGTTTTTTTTCTCTCAATTTCTGAATCTTGACTCTTTTCCTTATAATTGGCTGCCCATCTGAGCTTTGTGTCATCCACCAATGTAATAAGTATACCATCTATGCTTTTCTGAAAGTCATTAGTAAAATGTTCAACAGTTCAAGGGCATAAAATAGATCCCTAAGGCACTCCATTGGAGACTTTCTTCCAATAGATCATTTATTAAATATTCTTTGGGTGTAGTTAATAAACCAGTGCTGATTCCATTTAACTGCATTATTACCTGGCTTTCATCTCTACATGTTATCAGCAAGAATAGAATGAGAAACTTTGTCCAAAGATTGGCTAAAATCTAGGTAAACTTTATCTGGAATGTAAACTGAATCTGCCATTTTAGTAATACCATCAAAAAAGGGAATAATTATGGAAGATGTTTCTACCAAATCACTTAAATTCAACAAGTATGTAAATCATGACTATGTACCATAACTCAAGGAGTTTAAATTTTCCTTGGGGGAAAACAACAGGTACAGAGATTAGTAAATATAAAATATACAAAAGTAATCCTTTGGAAATAATTGTTGGGTGATGTTTGAATTATCTTACTGTTAGGATGCTTTAAAATATCACAGACTTCATTGCAAATCAATCCAACAAATACTTCATTACCTTATCAACTGTATGTGAGGCATATTTTATTTAAGTTTTCTTTTTAAATCATCTAGGCACCTTTATTTGGATTTCTTGGTCATGTGGACAATTGAAAAGCGTTATTTTAGTCATTATCTAATCAAGACTAGCTACCTGTTGGTGGTTTGGGGGTTTTTTTGTATGTTCTCAATTAATTTTGTTGGTAATTTATTAATTTTAGTAATAATTCCCAGAACCTTTATAATGATATACATTTTCTTTTTAAAACTATAAAAATAAAGAATAAAAAGGAGAGAGACAGAGAGATAGAGACAAAGACAGACACACACAGAGAGAGAGAGAGAGAGAGAGAGAGAGAGAGAGAGAGAGAGAGAGAAAGTTCTAGTTAGTTAGTTAGTTAGTTAGTTGCTAAATGGGCCAGAAGAACCCAAGACAGATCTGCCAGGAACACAATGTGGCTTTGCTTTGTCAGTTGAGTTTCTCTTCATGTTTTTTTTAAATAGTGGAAAATTTCATATCATGATCAAAAAGTCACTTAAATTTCCCAATATCCTGCTGATTTTGGCCCACAATTCCTTTATTTTTATGGCTAGTATGTCCAATAAAAAGGAAACTTATTGCCCATAAAATAAGACCAAACACACATATTCATATGTTATATATGCATATGTGTATATACATATATCACTTATATATAGAAATAGGTTATATGTCCATGCATCCATTAGTTAGGCTTACACACCTAGAAGAATAGGTTTATACAGGCAGAAGAAAATGAAGACCATCCAAAGATACCAAGCAAATGCTCTTCCTTCAGTACACCGAAGAACTATGAGCTTAAAAAGAAAATTCCATTTGAAGTGAAAAAAGGGTGGGCTTTAAAAAAAAAAATCAACAAGTGCTCTTTGAACTTTCTTAAAAATGTTTTGACATAGTAAGGCCATTTGGTATAGTTTTACTCGAAATAGCACATTTAATTGCAACACAAGCCTTGAAGTTAAGTGGTTAGTTTAATGAAACAGAGTTTCCATAGTTACCACAGAACAGAGGACAACTTTTATTTCTTTGGAAGCCAGGAAGGAGCTTAACAGAGGAAATATTAAGCAAACAAACCTAGGCAGGTTTATTACATAGAGTTTCATACTTGATTGACTTTAAAAGAGAAAAATTCTTGATAGAACAGAATGTTAACATTTTTAGAAATGAAATCTATAGCAACATGTTAAGAAGAATGATAATGTGGTGTCTTCCTTTTCTTTGGACATTTCCACCATATTCTGAGTCTGAGAGGAAACTGGCTTAAAACAATACATACATGAGATAGAGTCTGCTTGTAGCATTTTGTTAATAAACCACGTCATATCTGTTGTTTAAAAAAAATAGCATACTAAAGGCAATAATAGATTGCTACACATAAGAACTCATGCAATCTTGGGTCTAACTTTATTATTCATTATAAACATTCTCATTTTAAAGGCCTGATGGGAGGGAAATGGGAATCTATCATAGTGAAGATGTCTTCTAGTGTCAGCTTCATTGTTTTCCAGTTTAGCATTGAGATGTGTTCTCACTGAAGTGTTAATGGAGGTCAGTGTTGCTGCTCTCCTGTGCTGTGTCTAACCAAACGAGTTCTTACACAGTTGACTGTTGAGAAACCAAATGATGTACTTTCCAGTATATCACCTTCAGCTCGCAAGCCTTTAAAGCCTCAGTGATTAACAGGACTTTTACAAAGTTTCTATGTAGTTACAAGGACAGCTTCAATCTTCTGTCATTTTTTTGCATTAGCTATGATTATGCTTTTACCACAAAAATGCATTTGTTTTAAAGGTAACAATACAGACTGGGAGAATAGCTTATGTTTCATCTATATTTATCAGCACTCACTGTACATTTGTGTCTTCATTACCAGGAAATATTAAGGGACATTGTGCCATCTATTCCTGTTTACAGTTTATTATGCAGAGATAGGAAACACTTAGCATGTAAAATGAATGTAGAAATTATTCCTGGATAGAAACACGGACATTTCCCACTCGTTGGCTCTTTCTCCTCCATCACCGGATCAGAGTGTAATTGTCAGTAATCAGGCCTGCTTGCTGCTGATAAAACCACTCTGAATGCTAGCAGCCTTCTTTGTGTGATGACTCAATTATTCCAGAAGTGCCTCATCAAATCTGCCCCATCAGCTGGGCTAATAAATAAGGAGAAGAAACTGGCCCCCCAAAGCAAATTATAAATCCATTTGCATTAACCATTTCGCTGGTCCATGATCTAGGCAGAAATAAGCATGGCAGATTGTGTTAAGCTTATTTGAATATGTTTATAATGTTTACAGCATGCAACCTTTTTTTTTTTTGCACAAGGTGTTGGAATTATCAGTCATGAATAGCATCTAAATGCAGTTATGTTAATTACGGAAAGGCCTTAGGCATCTTTGAGGGATATTTTGTTGCTTAAATCAGGTGAAAGTTAAACCCTTCTGCTAGGAGAAATATGATCCTGCACATGTTATTAGAATTGCTTCAGAGTTTAAGGGGAGAAGGCCAGTGATGTGTTTTTATAGGTATGAGGACAAATACTGATATTATGATGCCTACTAGCACAGGCACAATTACTCCATATCCATCACAATGGAAAATTGAAGTTATTTTGTTATATGTGTGACCTCAATGGTCTGCAAATCAAACAATATAAGCTCCAGGAGGAGAGCTTACTTTGCTTTTCTGTTGCTTCTTTTGTACTCAAAATTCCTAGAAATATTACATAGAGTTGCAGCAGGAAAAGGTGTCCAGGCCATTGATTAAGCATGGACATGGTGAATTTGGGCATTTGTTGACAAACAATATTTTTGTTCTCCTTTAAAAATCACGAAGTGTACCTAATGGAAACTCATTTTGTTAGTACTCCTTCAATTACACTGAATAACTCAGGAAAATAGAAAGGGGAAGGAAGGAAGGAAGGAAGGAAGGAAGGAAGGAAGGAAGGAAGGAAGGAAGGAAGGAAGGAAGGAAGGAAGGAAGGAAGGAAGGAAGGAAGGAAGGAAGGAAGGAAGGAAGGAAGGAAGGAAGGAAGGAGACAGAGTCAGGGAGGGAGGAAGATAGTGAGGAAGGAAAGGAGGGAGGGAGATAGGAAGGGAGGAGGAAGGAAAGAAAAAAGGAAGGGAGAAAGGGAGAGAAGGAAGGAATAGATTTGTTAAATGTTTAATAATTTTTAAATATGAAATGGGCTTCCCATAAAAGTAAATTATGCCATTGTCCCACCATCAGGTCACACATTTTCAATAACTGTTCCTCACAGTGATTTGCTAAACCAGTCACACTTTTTGTCACACAGCTCCCCATGATCAACAAGATAGCTAACAAGTTCAGTGGTGAGGGATTGTCTTGTTACATGAAACAATTTTCCTGGGACTGAATGTCACCCAAATCTTGGTCTCAAATGAGCTAACTGGTTCAAATTAATGTAAAGTACTAAAAGGAGAAAAGACACATTTTGAAAGTAACCATTATACATAAATACATTCTCTGATAAGTTTTAACCAGTGTATTTGAAAGAAAGGAACTTCCATTGTGACAAGGAAACCAGTCGTCTACCTCATTGTGTAGTGATTGTAGGAGTCAGTGAAGGAGATTTCATTAGAGACAATTTTAGTGGAGCAACCTGGATCAAATGGAAAATTTTAGGATCAGACCAAGCCTACACAGTTAAAGGAGTCAAATGGGTTTATTCAATCAACTGATCAACTTAAGCAAAACTTGAATGGGCTCAAACTTGGATGATTAGTTTTCCAAAGCCAATGAGAAAGGTCTGTCTAAATGATGATCTGGCCATGTTATTCTATAGATGGAAAACATAAAATAAATGGCTAAAATGTATTCCTTTTTCTTATAATCTATTTTAATAACAATTCCTGACTGATGAAGACAAGTAAATTAAGCAAATTATTTAATTTACAAAAATAATTTCTTTGGTGATATAGACTTGATACACATACAAGATTTTTGTTAGAATGGTTTTATAACTCCTAAAGGAACATGACCCGAGGGCTACAGATACCAAATAATCATGCAGATATTAGGAAAAATGAACTTTTTGAGGCTTATTCAAAGTTCTGGAACTTCAGCAATTACCTCATTCAATGTTCTCACCTGCCTGAATCAGGGAAGTCTGAATATATTGGCATATATGCCTGCAGAAATCATGTAATCAATAGAGTTGAAAGAGACTTCAAAGGTCATTCAAGCCAACGCAAATAGAGGACATGGGTCATAGATGGAGAACTAGAAGGAATCTTAGAGTCCATTTAATCAAATACTCCTCACTTTATTGATGAAGCCCTGAGGATAAAAGAGATTAAGGACCTTGTCCAAAGTCACACAGGTAGGGTTAGAGTTAGGGTTAGGGTATAAGAGCCTGAATTTGAATATACCATGCTGCTCCTTTTATCCCTACCTATATCACTAACCTACAATTGCATCGTAAACATTAGCTACGAAAGTAATTTGCTCTGTCTGAAAAATTCTCCACTTCGAGTTTGGTTTGAATGCTTACAATACAAAAACTGTCTACAACAGAAGTCGTTTGAAATCTATCACATGAGATGCCTGCATTTAGACTGCGGTCACAATTTGGTGATACATTTGGCACATATATCACATTACATTAGGGTGTGTCGCTCGGCATGACACAATATAATTTGACAGACTCTTTTTCTAACGTGACAGATGCATTCCATTGTGTCACAGATTTTAAGAACAACCACATCTTTTTCAGGAGTGACTGCCATTCACCCATGAACCAGCTGTAGAGCCAGCAAGGCCTCATTATTAGCAGGTTGTAAAGCAGACAAACGTAGGGTTTAGTAATGAGTCTGTTTCCCTTTTAAATGTCATTTAATGCATACAGAGTACATTTAAGAAGTGTAACCTGTTAGGTTATGTAGACTTTTGAGTTATCACTTGTTTTGAACTGCAGAAGAGACCTGAGCCAGTAGTTGCTAGCTCAAGTACAGACCTGTTTGTTCATCCAGGTAGGAAAGGCATAGACCTAGTTTTCTCACTAACTCTTTATGAACTTGTCCAAATTACCTAGCCTTAGGTAATTGCAATGGTAATTACCTTCTAAGGACATTTTAAGATGCTTACAAGTGGTACAAAGTACTTTGAGATGAAATTAATTCTCAAAATGTTATAATTATTATAGAATGATCTAAAAATGCACAACCTTGGTGTAATAGCACAACAGATAGATGCTGCAATTTCACTAGTATCCACATCTGAATCCCCAATAGCATTTGTGTATTTGAGGTAAGACACACACACATCTTTCAGATGACAGAGTTCTCTGACACATATGCATTCCCTTCACCTGTATTTTACCACCACTCTTCATGAACACTTATGGAAAAGCAGATTTCTAGAAGTTATATTTTGACTCTGCCCTCTTTGCACTCTTCCAAGTGGATCTCAGCTGTGCTGTCTTAACTCTCAATCCCAAGGGATGAGAGAGACAGCAGATGGGGTTAGGGCAGAGAGGGCTGAAGCATCTGACGGCAAACGGCCTGGTTGTTGAGTGGAAGCTGTGAGCGTCAGGAAGCTACTTTTCCCCTGAGAACCAACTAACCACTGAAGAAAGTTGAAAATGAGCCCTTTGAGAAACGCTATTAAAAGTAGTAAAAAATTGCAATTGTGCACATGATGTGCTGCTGTGTGCTTATTCGGATGCTAATGAGTTTGACATTAGGGAACTCAGAGGGTTTACAGCTACTCCCTTATGTGATTCCATTCTTTATTGGCAATCTTTGAGAAAATAAATGGAAAATGTATTGCTAATAAATACATAACACGATAGGGTATTAGACAAAAAGCCGTTACTTTCAGAATTTAGAAAGGAGCTTTATTCACCAGTGTGACCATTTTTCCAGGATCTTTTGTTTTAGATTAGTGTGTAGCAAACAAAGAGGAATAAGCAGGTGGAAAGCTTCAAAACTCTTTCCTAGAACTGAGGGTGAAGGAGAATATTCAGAAAAAAATATTTCTCAGGGAAGCATATTTCTTTTCCGGTGGCAATGAAACATGAGCTGAGAATTTCCAAGTTTTGAGGCTCCTTTTTCATCCTTACCTCAAGATCAATAATATGTTCTCCTACTTGATAGAGTTACATACTTTCCTTTTCTCCAAGGGAGCAGATTTGCTAAAAACGAGTTGTAGAAGCTTATACCTATTAGAGAGTGATGTTTTGTAAATGGCACAGAAAAAAAAGTGTCCGGTCAGTACAGTAAGTTGATGTACACACAAAATATCATCACAGATAACTTGAAAACGTCTTAAACCATCTCACCCCCTAAGTCCCTTGAAAATGCTATTCCCCTAATCTCACTTTAATAAGAAGGATGTGTAATGCACATGCTATGTGGGTAAAAAGATCCCTTTCCAGTATGGTGAGTGCAAGACACTGAATTTCAGAGTTTTCTCTCAAGTGCCAAATGGACTGAAAGCTGATTCCATTCTCAATCCCTGGGGCAAAAATAGAAGCGATATGTTAGATGTATTATGACTGCATGCAAAGTAAACAAAAGCTAAATTATTTCTTTAGAGAGCACATTCAAGTATTGGTTTAAAAAATTCAGTACCTTTATTATTAAAACATTACTAAAGACAGAGCTGTAAGCATACTGAAATATCTGATTTGTGCTTTATTTTACTATTGGGTGCATCTGGATCCTTGTCAAAACTTTGCAGTTCTTAAGTTCAGAAGTTAAAGTGAAAAGGGTCCCCTTTATCCTTCCTATTACCAAATTTGTTCACCAAAAGACAGAAATAATATATTTCTACAGAAAAGGAAGAAATAGATTTGTTTCATATTATGATGGATAGGTGACATCCAAAACACTAAAACTTTTATTCTATATAGACTGTATCAGTAACTGTGGAAGTAAGAATATCGTTGAGCTAGTTCACCAGTGTTTATTAGGGTTGTTTCAATTTTACTCGCTTTACCTGACATATATTGATAGATATACTGTCTTATTTTCTTTTTCTTGTCTTAAGAGAATGCATATCAGGATTTCTCACTAACACAGACAAGCAATCTTAGTCACTCTGAAGGACCGACACATTCAAAATCGGCATACCATTGCACCTGTGAGCAGAAAAAGGTGAGGGAGAATTTTTTTAAATTAGAAAATGGATCTCACTTATAAAAATCAAGCTTGATCAAAACTTTTCTAGAAAACATTTTGTCTATAATGCTACTTTCTCTTTTGACTTGCTTTGTGAGAAATATATCGCTGTGTTGAATTTAGAAATTTGATAGTTGTTAATGGTACAATCAAATGAATATGCATTTTAAAATATTAAACACACGCATTCTCTGGATCTATACTTCTACATGTTGATTCATATTGTTTTTTTTCACAAATGTTTGCCCTTAAGTCCTCATCAAAATAGTATTGTTATTCAAGTTTTAATCAATGAGTTTGGGGAAATTAGTTTTGTCAAATACTGATATTGAATATGCTGATTTTGAGGTTAAAAAACAAAAGATTATGACTATAATCCGGCTGATTATTGCCATGGACAGTTTACAAAAGACTGAGAAGCAAATTTTCTTTAAAAATTTATTATGAGGTACCACTATATTTGTTAGAAAGTAATTTTTTTTAATTCTAAGTATATTTTCTAATAGGTACAGCTCAGAAAATGTCTTTAAGAAATAAAAAGGAGCACTTTAAATAGTTGCTTACATTGAGCTGCTTTTTTATTAAGTGGAAAATTCTATGCAAAGATATAGAAATCGGTGAATTCTTATAGCGAAAAGCTGCTAGTTGCTCCTTAGTTTCATAATGCTATGACTCTGCCCTCTAATGCCTTGGTAAAGCAGACTAATAGAAATCCTTGGCACACGTTGGTTACCTAAGGGAATAATGGAACTATTTGCTGTAGTCGTTTGGCAAAAGGACATAAACATATGGCTTTAGTCTATATTCAGCCCTGCCAGTTGTGCAAAGTTGCATGGATGAGGTATACAACAGCAGTGACAACTCAGATCAGGAATGAGACTCACAATAAATCATCCTCATTACAAAGCTGCCCAGGCTTGCCTCTCTGTTCTAAGGTTTCTTTCACTGCAAATATATTTTCAAGTGACTCTGTAGTAAATCCCCTCTGAAAAACACCTTACTCGTTATAAGCATATGTAGCACTTGATCCTCAGGAACAGTTTTATCAGAGACAGATTATATTTATGAGATCTCAGATAGAATGTACTTTTCCCTTTAGATTTAGTCTCTCTGTTGGAGAGACAAAGAGGGATAAGGAAGTGGAGGTGGCATATATTTAGGGTAATCACATCCAGGGCTTCCAACTTCCTTGTGAAGTATCAAGGACAGTGCTACAAGGAACAGAATAAATAAGAGAAAGTTGAAATCAAAGACAGTGAACCATAAAGTAATAATCAAAGTTCAGAAGGCTATTAATGTCTTCATGAATAGTGATTTTAAAATGCTGTTTTTGGTAGTAAGCCTAGAAGATAGTTAGATAGCTTAGGAGCTTCTCTGTCCACCCTCAATACCATCTTCCCTCACCACCTTGCTAAAATGTTACTATTCTTCTAGAGCTATTAGTAAACACAGAAAAAAAGGCAGGAAAAGAATCAACAGGGTTAAAATAGAAAAAAAAGATCATTTAATTACAATATCCCTGAAAAAATTATCATTATTTGTTGTTGTAATATTCCAAATCTATATTTTCTCCATTACTTGTAACTCAGAATCAAAACCTGTTTTCATGATCTCCTCCCTGTGTAAGGGGCAAATGTATTTTTTTTCACATCCAAAACCAATGCTTAAATAAAATCATACCCAAATCATCAAAAACAAGGCAAGTCAGTAGTGGAGGCTTTGTTCTTCAATGTAGCCAAACTTAATGCCAAGGTATTGGCATCACCTGGCTGTTTCATTTTCTGGGCTTTCGCCTTTTCCAACTTTCTGTGTTTCTCTTTGTCATTTTTGCAAAATGTTGGCGTTACAAAACGAAATATGTACCAAAGACAAAAGGGCTCCTCGTGGAGAGGAATGCATAGGATCCTTTTTATTCAGTGATTACAGACATTATTCTTATGCTTACCATGAGTTCTCCATGACTGAAAATAATATTCCGCAAAGAATGAAATGAAATGATACAAAACCACATTGTCACTGAAGGTATTACTCAGGTAACTTTTCATCATTTTTTTAAAGGGTAGTTATTCAAATTAAATATATGTGAAGAATTTTAAGTGAATATTATTCTATATATGTATACATTTACTAGATAGAACTTAGATTAATCACATATAATATATACATATATGCAAAGAATTTATAAAATTAATATATACACATTCACTGGGTAGCATTTGGGCTAATCATAGACAGATTATAGATAAAGATATATGACTTTCACAAAGTGCCTCTCAAAATCATGTAATTATAAAAGATTATTATGCAAGTATATGTATATGTATTATCTAGAAAATAATCTCTTTCAGGACAGGGATTCCTTTATAACTTTATGTCCCCAAGGTCTAACATAGTACCTTGCACATATGGAAATAAGCATACATCCATATTGTGTGTATATATGCATACATATGTATATATAAATATATTTAATTTTAAAGAATTTCTTGGCATAATAGTGAATACTTCAATGATAACTTCATCTATGCAATTTGTGGCCAATAATAAAAAACAAGTATTTAATGACTAAAACACAAATGAACAGTCTAATTTTTCTCAAACGAATGACAATTATTTTTGTAAGTGAACTCTCATTAGTGGATGGGGACCAAATAACATTGGATAAACAGGAAGACTCTTTCTAATTGTCTTAGCCAGTTTCATTCATCTTTGATAAGTGAATAAAACCAAAGTACAAAAAAACAACATTAGACTCAGGTATATACATTTCTAGATGATTTGGGCTTAAAATTTTGTATATAAATATGTGGGTGTGTGTATAAATTGATTATCCAAAATATTTTCTCACTCTAAGTATACTTCATGGGCCATAGTGAGTGCTTCACAAATATTGGTTGACTGCTCTAAGCACTTTTTTAAACTTACCATGTACACACATGTATTTACGGATTTTAATGGTTTTTTTAAAACTTTAATGAATATTGAGTTAAATTTTAGATATAGATATTACTAAGTTTCTCTACTCCCCCCAAGTTTATGATATAATCATTGAATTTAAAACATGTCTTTTCTTCCCTTCCTAGATCATAAATTATAGGAAGAAATCTTACAGGGCATCTATCCAAATCTCTCATTTTACAAATGAGGAAACTGAGACCCATAAAGCTTAAGTAACTTGCCCAAATTCACCCAAGTAGTAAATGGCAGTACCTTTTTTCTGTCCTTACTTCTCTACTTTTTCACACTTTCCTTCCCTTTCTTTCTTTTATTTTTCTTTCATTTTTGTTATTTCCTTCTTTTTTCTTATCTTTTTTTTCATATCTTGCATTAATACTTTTCCTTGGAGACATGTATTTTGGAATAATGTCATTGTAGTAATATGCCAGACAGCTGAAACAAGAACCCAACTTTTTAAAAAAAAATTATGTAACAGTTCTGTTCAGGTTGCCATGGAAGAGGTAAAATAGTCCTCTTTCTGGAGCTTCCTTGTCTAGATAAAGTATAAATTCCCACTGTCCCAAGTCTTCATCGCTTACTGATGAGGACTTTGCTCTAGCACTGACTACTTAAGTTCTTGGCTAGTTTGCACATCTGAGCATTATAATAGAGTTGACTTTTAGAAGACGTTAGACAAAGAGAGAGGGAATATATAAACATACAAATGTAGTCTGCTTTACAGCCACTAAACATTATACAGCCCCTCCAAAGAACTTGGGTAATATGGAGATGCAGGCCAATTCAGATGCACAGACTGATGAAGAGTCCAAAACAGAGACATACACTGAGACCTGGATGGCATCCAGCACACAAATAGATTGCCTGCCAGAAAAGAAGAAGCCATCAACAAACAGAGATGAGAAGTGGAAGGACTGATTGGCATTATAGGAAGACTTAAAGTGGAGGGATAACCCACTTACTACTATCCTAGGATTGTGAATCATGTGGGCTGTGAGATCACTTGATTACCCATCAACCCTGAATTCTTTCCTCTTGCAAGAAAGCCTCACCCGGTCTATTCTATATACAGTCCCGATGGGTGTATGGGCCCCTGAAGTTGTGTAGGCTCACTGGAAGAGAGGGTTGCTGGACTTCCTGGCACCTTAAAGTTCTTTTCTTTTTGTGGGGATTGGGGGGAAGGAGTAGAGAGTCTTGGTAATAGGTTAAATACAGTTTCTTGGGGAAACAAGAGGTGAAAGGGAGTTTCCTTGAGTCTTTTTGAGTTCATGTAAGAGTCCTTTCTGTTTTTGTCAGGTTAAATAAAACTTGTCCTCTAGTCAACGTTTTGTTGGCCTGCATGCTTTCTTGAGAGCTAAGAGCCCATAAAGAGACAAGAGGCATATTCTAATGTTCTCAGGGAAAACCTTGGGTCAGGGCAAGAGTCAAAGATATTTGTTTAGAGTGATCCTCAAGGTGAACCAAATAGACATGAATCCAAAATTGCTTTTCTACAGTGACATGGGCCATAGGTTACATTCTTGTATTTTAAAATTCAATCCCTTCAGTGAAGCCATAATTTCTGACAGAAAATCTTAAAAATTAAGATTTTTTTTGGTAATTTTTATTTCCACAGGAAAAAATAGACTCAAGTAAAGACATTTTAACAAAGCTAGAATGATTCAATTTATGTCTATGGTAATCACAGAGGACTAACTTTTTATCTTGACTATCTATAACACATGCTGTATTTTCAAACCAGAGCATGAAGTGCACAAAAGGCTTTAAGAATGTTGGAGAAGAGCTTTATGAAAAACCAAGCATTGTTTTGAATGAAGAAATGAGTCACTCAGTTTTTTACTAAATTTATTAAAGTATTGTTAATCTTCAGGATTTAAAATGGGAACAATAAAATGTAAAGATGTTCTTATTCTTTTTTGCTACCTTATTTATGATTTCTGGGGAACGTGATAATTGAGTATATCTTTTCTAGTTTGCAAGAATGCACAAGAAAAACATTCACCAATGTTTTACTGTTTGTAAAGTGAATGTGCCTACTGCAAAAAAGGAATTCCCATTTTAGCGAACATTTATAAAATGTTTTATTCTCAGTGTTAGATTTGATTTTTTTTTCCAGAATGAGATCCATACTCTACCCAATGGGAAGGCAGGAAAATCCATGAGAAAAATACAAAGAATTCTCAGGAATTTCCATTTCTATCTACTGATTTCTCAGATACCTGAGGCTTGTTTTTCAATTGATGTCTAGAAAAGAGATTGACTCAGATCATCATTGTCAAAAGGTACCACTTGCTTCATATTTTGAACATTTCTCTCTATCACCAAGGTGTATGCCATGGTTGGAAACTAGATTTACCAGTTTTCTTGTTCTTATGGCATGATGGAAAAAGGTAAGGTCCAATTGATACACCATATTTTGTGAACTCAGGCCGGTTTGATCTCTTTTCTGTAGACTCCACCTCAGTTAAATGTGAAAGGTTTTAATTTCATGAATGAGTTTTTATTTTTATTTCAGTATATTCTACAACTAGAGGACAATGGCTCACCAAAATACAATTATGAAACCAGTATTCTGTGCACAATACAAATGGAAAGCCATGAATATTTATGTATTACTTCCATTGACTTTAATGGGGAGGTCACTGCATGGGATGGTGGCAGAATTGTCTGGTTTCTTGATAGCTAAACTGAAAAAAAAAAAGAATTAGATTTAAAACTGCTGGAAGGTTACATTTAAATGTATTTATGTAACTTTTATTTGTATGTACTAGCCTTCTTTGTATCCTATGCTTCAATTTTGCAAAAGAAACTCATTGATTTAATCTTCACTTGCCTTTTGGGGAATTTGTCAGAGAGTGCTTCTGGAGAGTTAATAGCACCTGTGTGGCTGTATAGTATTAGGCTCATGTTGTGTTGATTTTGACCCAGGGGAACAGTTTCCTCCAAAATATTTCATGGTCTTCACCATTTTAACCCTCACATGGTCCAGATCTCTCTTAATCTAGTTATTCATTTAGCACATGGGGGGGGGACTTGCATGAGTTGAACCACTTTATATGCAACAGAGATACTCTTGGGAGGAGGATGATTTCACAATGCAATGCTCACCATCCTCAGTAAGCCTAGCCATTTTAATCCTAGGCTGTTTCAACATCTGTCATAAATTTATGTGGTTTTCAAAAAAGGGGGAAATTGATAAGAAAAAAAATCGCCTATGTTGCTTTTATTGTTGTTCTCTCCTTGTTGAATGTTTTTTTTAAAAAATATTCATCACAATGAACCCTGTTATTTGGACTAAAGTAACTGCCGTTCAGTGAAAGCAGTGAACATTTTTTGTTTCATAATTTAAAAAGCAGCACTATGATTGGTGTGGTTATTTATTATGAAATGATGACAAAAGAGTACCAGTGATTTTAATAGTTTTAGCTTATAAGAGCTGTTGTTAATTTTGTCTGTAGAGTTGCAGGTGAAATAATGCACAATGGATAAATAGTCTATATTGGTTTAACTGAACATAATATATAGTGTGTTCTGGAGTTGTTTGTCTCAATAGACTATAGTAATCAAAAGTAATGAACCTATTATGTGCAGGACCTTGGAGAGCGTAGAATGGCAGTAAAAGTGTGGCACATAAAAGGTTTATTAAAGGAAATTAAAGTCCATCATTGCCACACCTGCTCCCCTATTATAAGTCTATGGCAGGTCAGTGCCTTCAATCACAACTCAGCATCAGAGAACAGAGACACGTTTCCCATTACCATTGCAGTCACACTGCATACAGCCTAGTCTCAGTTTTTAAGGATGGGAGCAACTAAAGTGAACCTTCTGCTTCTGGTTTTCAGATAGAAAAAAAAAACCCAACTCATGTTTAAGAATTTCACCTGATTAAAACATAGCTATGACTTAACCTAATAAAACATTGAAGTGTATTTGGAGGGTGGAAGACACTAGTCAGCAAGATGGATATCATCCTCTCACAATCCAAATGCAAAAACAATTATCTGTAGGTCATTTGCATTGTACTTGGGCATGTTTTAAAGTCTCTTATGAAGAAGTTTTAAGAAACTTTCATTGTCTTATTTCACATCATTCAAAAGTCAGCGTTCTTGATAGTTATCACAATCATCTCCTGAATTTCCACTAGAATTCTGTGTGGAATCGTATACCATTTGCTCTTCAGGCTATGTTTGATGTTGTAGTGTTTTTCTTTATTTAAAATAGTAGAATATTTCAGAAAGGGCTAAGAAGGATTAAGGATGCAAGATTTGGTGAAGTACAGAGAAGCCTTCGAGGATGGTTTTCTAGATATCTATGTTCATTGGAACCACCATGCTACTAATAATAACTGCCTCTTTATCACAGAAGTGCCTGAATCATCAACAAACACTTGTGGACAATAGAATAGAATTGACCTTTAACAGTTGTTCTTTCTCCTTTCTATATTTGATCAATAATTTTTTCACGACCTATGGATTGTTAGGGAAGTCATATACATGACAATCCTAACTATCCTAAAGATATATATGAATGTATACATGTATGTATGTATATATATTTATCATATATGTGCATATACATACCTAAATACATATACATATATTATGTATAAAAATATATATGTCTTCAGAGCCAGATTGTATTTTGTGAGCATGGCTATTCTGTTTTTCATTGCAACTTTCACTACATCTCGATATACAATTGTGTACTAGATGGAAGTTTTGGTCAGGGACAAAGGAGGTGAATTTAAGATTTTGTGTTAATGTTACAGATGGATGCAGATGCTGAAGATAAAAGGCTGCTTACTCAATCAAAAGGAACCAAGGGTGAGTTAGCAAGCAGGTTCCATGACACCGTGCCCATAACACCATGAAATATGGTTGTTCTTATGCTGGGTCCCTAATGTGTAGTCAGAGTGTATATAGCTTCCTCAGGGCTCCTTTTTTTAATCAAGCCAGGACATAGGCTGCTGGCATTGAGAGACAAAATGCCAGCTAGGAGTTAAAGAGGATAGAAAACTCCACAGAAATGCATGCTATTTGATGATTGGAAAAATGACACAGACAATGGAGTTGGACATTGTGTGAAACAACATAATGTTAGGCAAGGGAAGTATGCTTCACTGAGACCTTCAAAATGTTATGGTGACCTTTAGCAGGCAAAGGAAAGTGCAGATTTTTTTAATTGATTGCCAAAACAGGTTTTAATTTTATGTTACCTAATTTAGTGGTTCCCAGTCTACACTTAGTTCCAGTAAAAGGAGACTGTTTGTTTTTTGACTGACCCCCCCCGGGATTTTGCAGCAACTCTGCAAAGTAATGTTTGAAAGATTTAACTTGCCGGTTAGGCCTCTCTTTTTGTAAGCAACAGATGGCAATATAATATTGAAATGTAAACAGGCCCTTGATGATCTAAACATCTGGAAAGCAAGATTGACTAGCATTATAACCCCTGAAGGAAAATAACTTTTTATTATAATTAGTAATATTTTTTGTGACCCTTAATTCTAAGTGGAAAACTTGATGCTCAGTATGGCTCGTGAGAGGATAAGCAAAGGGGATTCATTGCTTCTAAACAGAATCATTCCTTAATTTCAGTTTCCCTGGCTAAGGAAATGGGTGACAGCACTTGCAACAAAACAATCGCATTTATAAAGTGTTTTTAAAATAGTAGATTAAAATTGCTAATGAATGAAATGCTTTTGTTATCTAGCTATTTTTATTATTTAGCCAAAGTCAGCAACTCCTATTCAAGTAAAACCCAAAACAGAAGAATCAGAAAAAAATAAGCTCAAAGAAGATTTACAAATTTTTCAGTTTGCCATGGCAACCAAAGCATAGGATCACCAGCAATTGAGACCTGAAATTTCCTCTACTCAAACAAAAGTTTTACTCTATATGCTTTTTCTACTTTGAGTTCCAGGCACTTTTTTAATTGCATCAAGGATGCAAGTAGAGAATATCTTTATAGACCAATAAAAGTGGTACAGAGTTCCTAAACATTGAACTTTTATCGTCAAAATTCATACCTTAATAACATACCAAAATTTTAGAGAACAAAATGAGTTATGCCCTCCAGGTATTTGGGTTGGTTGCTACCTCTAATCAGACCAGCCTTAAGTTCAATGAGCTGAATTTCTTAGTTTGACTTCTAAAAGACATACTGTTACTGTAGGCTATTTGTCTGCCACAGTACTAGAAAGGGAATGTCCTCATCTGAAATTTTATTTGGATTTCATTTCACACACACACACACACACACACACACACACACACACACCTCAAACAAGAATGTTCAATCTCTCAGACATGAAGCAAATGTCGTTGCTTGTGCTACAGGAGTACTCTTTGAAACCACCTGTCATCTGCCAATCTGTTGCTTAGCCCTGTGTAGGCAGGTATTGATAAATATTAGCTTTCTTCATTCCCATCTCAGAATCAGTCATAAAGTCAAAGACTTTCTTTTACATTTCCTACTTTTTCAGACTATTGTTATTGTCCTGGTTGAAGTTTTCCCCCTTTCTCTTACAGATACTTAGTTTACCTAATATAGTTCTGGGCTTTATTTGAGCAATGAAATTTGTCATTTACAATTACAAGCATGTGTTTAGTGTCAAATTGTCCCTAAAATTTCTCAGTGTAACACTGTTCTGAATGGTTACTAGGGAGTAGGCAAAATTCATGGTAAGAAATTCCTACAACTCAAGTTGTAAGTCATTTAGCTATTTTATCAAATTATAGTGTATATATGTATATATAGTATGTTGCATGCTGCAGATAGATTGATAATGATGATGATGATGATGATGGGCAGACAGGCAGGCAGATAGATAGATAGTTCAAGAACTTCCTCTGACACATAATAGAGTGAGAATGGGTAAGTCACTTAACCTTTCAATATCCCAAGGCAATTCTCAAAGAATTAATGAAATTGACTTATTTCATACCTGCTATAAATTGCAGAGGAGTTAAGTCAAAAGAGAGTTTCCATACTGGGGGTTCTCCTGCACTGATGAAATCACAGTTCTATCAGGGAAAAATTAACCAAATGAAAATGGGGATAAGTTTTTACTAACAATTGCATGGTCACCACATGAAGGCAGATGCTGGTCCCATTTGAGAGGAATGGGATGAGAAACAGAAAACTGACTGTTTTTCTTTCTCTTTTTTTTTTAACAGTGAAAGTAGACTCTCTGGTACAAGAGCTCAGGTAAGAATTCATTTAAATCACCTTTCCCCAAATTCCATTATTCTAAATCAAGAGCATCAATTATCTTTACTAAGCCAGGAGATCACTGTTTAGGGACAAAAAAAAAAAGAAGAAGAAAATCTACAGAATATGCCCTCTGACATAGCCATTATTTGTTTTAGATAACAAAACAATCCATTTACTTAAATTTAATGACTATTTATTAAGTAACTGCATCCTATCAAGTACTCATTTGTTTACAATTCCACACTATTTTAATGAATTTAAAGAACTGAAAAAGTTGTCAGAGATTATTTGGATAAAACATGTGGCAACATTTAAAGAGAGAATTCCACCTCCATGAATGTGATAAATCATAAAACCCAGGGAAAATAAATTTATGTAAAAAGTTTTGTCTATACACTGACTTGAGAATTAATGTAATTATATGAAAATTCAAACCTAAAAAAAGTTTTATATCATATTCAGATAACTAAGCAAAAACTTTTTTGATGGGATAATATTTCAATTTTCTACTTTAATTAGTAGATGGAGATATAGTTAAATATTACATTGTCTGCACAGATATCCTCAAATGATGAATTAGTTATCTTAATTAATGAACTTAATGTAGACAACCAGTTGAGATAATTTGGGGGCAGCCCCCTGATACAATTAATTGTATAATTGCCTCACGATTGCATACTTTGTGTAGATACAACCATAATTCCAAGACATTGTAATTCACTGAGAGTAATCTAAATATTTCCATGCTTAAATTTTTTTTTCTAAAAAATGTAATTTGGTATTTTTTAGAATGAATTAAAAGTACACCAGATTTCCTTAGGAAGGTGAATGGTTTGGGTACAGATAAAAATCAATAAGCTTTTAAAAAGATACTTGCAGAGAGAAATTGTTTGGTAGTCATTGACAACATACTTTCATAAAACTTCAATAGTGAGAAAGTCATCAAAATATTTATTATTTTGTAAGGCTTTTCATTTGCCAGAGATCTTTACTCATTCTTCTATTATTCTGCATTCATGCATTAGAAGAAAGGGTTAGTAAAAAGCATATCCTTCCCAAAGTTGCAATGGTACCTGTGTCCTCAAGAAAAATGTTTGGAAAATCAAGTTTCCCATAAGCATCTGAAATATCAGAGAACCTGTGCTGTATACCTTACCAGATAAAACAGGTTTTTGAAAACAATTGTGTTTCATGTTTTGTCAACACAACACTAATGTGGTGTTGCCTTTTGCGCATTCTTTCAGCAATCGAGTATACTTGTTAATTGAACAGGCACCTCTTAGTAGGCTATGTACACTTCAGTACTGTTCTTATCAGTTGGTGAATGTTAGGATGAGGCTCATGGCTTTCTTAATGTACTAAATTATTTCTATAAGAATTTGCCTTATTTTAATTTCTATTGTAAGTTTAGTTCTCTCAGAGAGTATTATTTTAACAGAGACATGTAAATTCCTCTTTGGACCAGGATAAGAAATGTGGAATTGACTGGTTTTTAAGGTCATGCTCATTTAATTGGACACACACAATCCCCTATTTTTAGGCATATACTATCTAACAACCTAGTTTTGCATTATCTTCTTATTTTAAAATTACAAGATATTACATCTTTGGACTTCTCTGCTTGAAAACCACTACTTAAGCTTATAAACTTTGGTTGTATTGATACTCATTTCAAATCTGTAATTGATTTAAAGTATTCAATGATATTTCCTTGTATGCTTAGTCTTGCAAGTTAATTTTGGAAATAATTTATAGAAAGATCCTATGTTGCAAGTGGTGTAATTCAATTTATGTAGTAATCATAATAGCTACCATTTATGTAGCACTTTAAGGTTTCTGAAACACTATATGTGTATGCATGTGTATACATATATGTATATGTATGTGTGCATATATGTGTATATGTGTGTGTGTATGTGTACAAAATCTCATTTCATCCTCACAGCAACCTTGGGAGATAAGTGCTATTATTATCCTCATTTTACAGATTAGTAACCCGAGATTGAGAGAAGTTAAGTCACTCGCCCAAAGTCTTACAATTAGTAAGTACTTGAGGAAGGATTAGAACTCAAGTCTTCTTAACTCTAAGTCTAACACTCTATCCACTATGCCACCAAGTACAAGAAAGTCTCAAATTAGTTTGTTCCTCTATACTGAAACTTTACCAGTGTGAGTGACTCCTCTCATTTCTATATAACATATTTGACTTTTCAAGACTTGCCTTCAAAGGATAGCTCAAATAAAGCTATTCATTTTTGGAGTGAACACCATTAGTGGACAAACCCCTATATGAGAGATTCCCAGGACAGGATTTTTCCACAAAGCAGTAGTGATGGAGTCTAGCATTTCTTCTTATATTAAAAAAGTCAGATTGCAGTGAGGCTACTATTTCTTTCCGCTTCTCCATATGTGGTGAACTTGGTTACTATAACTTGATATAGAAATTCCTTCCCTTCTCAGTCAGTTGTACACCTCACTCTTGGGGCAGACTGCTAAGGAATTCCTCAGGTAGGTTAGTTGTTGTCCTTTGTTCTCGAAGAGGACCAAAATGACATCACTATGTTAGAATCAAGTCATAGTATGTCAGATTGTGGCCAATCAGACCAATATGAACTCAGAATGCTCTACCACAGGAAAGGCACAAATAGTCGATGTGAATATTTGGGGTGGATTCTCTAAATTTGTGCATCTCAAGTTTCTTTTGAGATACTTCAATTTTGCTTTGCTCATAGAGTACAGCACCTTCTTTAATGAGGGCACACCATCCTGGGCAGTCTTGTGACAGTGTCTCCCATGTCATGCAATCAATTCCAAATTCTTCTCTGAAGAACTTAATACATGATAAAACTGTACAAGGTGCTTTCTAGTATATATGCACCACAGGCTGATGGAAGCTACAGATCACTACCATGATATGGCAGCCAATAAAGCCAACTGACCTTGGACTACATTAAAAGAGGTAATACTTGAAACCAAGAGTCTCATTGTATTTGGTTGGACACAATCTGGAATACTATGTTCATTTCCGGGCCCCATATTCCAGGAAGGACATTGATGATCTAGAGAGAGTTCAGAGAAAATTTTGGGGTGGGAGTAGGGGCATAAGATCTGTCTCCAAGTGAAAACATAGGATCACAGTTTTGGAACTGGAAGGAAACTTGAAGATTATCTACTCTAACTGCTCAGTTTTACTGAGATGCAGAGACTAGAACATGGCAGAAACTCAGTTCAAAATCAGGTCCTCTGACTCAAAATCTATCTTCCCACTATACCATGCTGCTATAAGTCCAAAGTACAGAATGAGAACCAATGGGTTTGGCCTACTCAGTAAGCTTCTGTGGCTCCCTATTGCCTCTAGAATAAAACATAACTGCCTCTGTCTGGCATTTAAAGCCGAACAGCTTCAGCCCAACCTATCTTTACAAAGTGATGCCTCAATTGTGGCCAAACCAATGACATACTGCAGCCAGTTTATCCTGGCTCACAGAAACCAATTGTTAAAATTTCAATGTGAGCATTTATAACTCAGAAATTAGCAAATGCTACAAATTAGGGCTTTATTGCTTTGTTGATTTCTAGGCCCAAGAAAATGATGGAGGAAATGTTAATAACACCTATCAAATATAAAAGTGGGTTTTGTATATTTTTTTTCAGAGATGGTTATTAAAAATTTGCCATCATACCCCTTGGCCAGACTGACCCACTTGTGGATCTCTATATGTTTTCTTCTGTGATTTTTTTTCACTTCTAGACATTTACAGAAACTGTCCTCTATGCCTTGAATGCTTTGCCTCCTCACCACTGCCTTCAAAGCCCTGCTCGAGTCCGAGTTCTCCCTCACTCCAAAAAATTTCTTTGTATTTAGTCTCTGTATCCTTATTTGTGCATATGTTTTTCTTCCCCAATAGAATGTGAGTTCCTTGGAGTCAGGCATTATTGCATTTTTGTCTTTGTAGCCCCAGCATCTGGCAAAGGGTTTGCTTGTCACATGCTAGGCACGCAGCAAATGCTTGGAGGGTTATTGCTGAATCTAAAAGCAGTTATAAAGCCCAGTAAGGTGACAGGGATACCCTCGATGAATGTAGAGATGAGAACTGGAAGGTTGAGTTCACAGGACACCTAGGAGTCCAGTTTTCCTAAAATGTAAAGTGTTTAAAGAGGAGTACAAGTGTATGTGAATTTAGCCTGAAAAGCCAAGGTAAAGCCAGATTGTAGTAAGACTTTAAAACCAGATTAGGAGTTTATGTTTTATCCTGCAGACCAGAGGTTCTTAGCTTTATCACCCGTGCCATGGACCCCTTTTTCAATCTGATGAAGCTTATGGACCCCTTCTCAGGAAAAAAAAATATTTCTAAATGCAGAAGATAAAACATAGAGGATTACAAATGAAATCAATTCTACTGAAATGCAATTATCAGGGCAGCTAGGTGGTGCAGTGAATAGAGCACCAGCCCTGGATTCAGGAGGACCTGAGTTCAAATCCATCCTCAGACACATAACACTTACTAGCTGTACGACCCTAGGCAAGTCACTTAACCCCATTGCCTAACCAAAAAAAAAAAAAAATACAATTATCCAAGTATTTGAAAAGCAAGTTCGTGGACCCCAAGTTAAGAACTAGAGGCGTAAGGAATAAGAAAAAGAAAAAAAAACTTTTTAACAAATAGGTTTGTCCAAAGATGGAATGAGCTGACTCAGCAAATAGGATCATAAGATTCAGAACTGGAAAAGCCCTCAGAGGTTATCGATTCTAACCCCTCATTTTATAGGTGAGGAAACAGAGGCCCAGCTGTATGAAATGAACCTAGGTCTTCTTACTCAGGGTGCAATGTAATGTCTGCCACATCATGCTTCCTAATATATTCCCCATAGCCAAGAGTAATAAAGTAAAAAATTGATAGACGGCCACTTGTTAGAGATATTATCAAGGGGATTTATATTTCAGGGAGGATTTATATCATCAAGACTTGATGCCTCTAAGGGGTAGCTAAATG